ATGGAAGAACAGGCGAAACAAATAGAAAATTACTAACAAGTTAATACATACATATATATGTGCATATATGCATATTAAATATTCAAAAATAATTGCAATGTCCGATCGACACGTACACAACCCACCCCAATAAAAATTAAATTCGTCGTTTATTTCTTGTGGTTTAAGATTGTGTCTTTTGTGTGTTTCTCTATTCTGTGTGAGTTCTTCAGATTTCCAAAATAACCATGAACATGATAATACTATTCGGACTCCTCTCTGACACTCACTCTCTGGTCCGCCCATCAGTTAGATCCTCTAAAGATCTCGAAGCATCTGCGGGCTGGTTGCCCATTTTTGGTGTTCTTTTGGGTCATTTTCTTATCCGTTTGCACGTTGGTAATGCCTTTCAGTGGCTCTCGTTTCATTTTTGGAGTTTGTTCTCTGTTCTTTGTATATTGTATTTCTGTCTTGAACTGTAATGTTTTTAGAGTGAGTGAGAGACAAGTTAGTCAGTCTGGTGAGTCCTTGTTCAAGGCATACTATAAGGAATCCTTAAAGATGGAAAAGAGGCTTCGCAATGGAAGCTTTATCTCTTCCAGCAAAAGAAAAAAAAAGAAGAACGAGAAGGGACGTGTGAGACGCTTCTTTCGCGTCACAACTTTTATACCCGGCACTCAGTACTACATCTGCACCTTAGCGGTTATTTGTCAAATTTTACTTTTTTTCTTCATCTGTCATCGAAACCCTTAAGATAGAAAACCTATCGAAAGCATGCAGTGAGTACTTCTCGCCTTGTGTTATTTATTCAAATTTCTGTTACAAACCAATAGGAATGATTTCTGTTTGCTTTCTTGGATAATTCAAGTTATTTAAGGAGTTCCTCTTTTTGAGATGGTGTCATGGCGTCCAATTTCAAACGAACCGCTTCGTGAGCCGTCGCCTTTACGTGAGCCATGCGTCCTTCATAATCAGGTATAATTTCCACGACCTTTTCGAAGGTCCTCTGTGTCGCTGTGCGGATCGATGGGCATTCGGTGAAGCAGGACATTGCGTTCTGCAGCATTCGGTGTAACTTAGTCAGAAACCAGTCCCAGCCCTTAAACTGCTCGCCCGCCAGTATCTTCTCCAGTATGTCCCAATCCAGAGGCTCATCATGGAAGTCATTATCTAGATTTTCTCCATAATGCATCCAGATCGACGAGATGTTGAATGGCCAAGAGTTCGCACAACAACGTAGAGCCTTGATCAGGGTCTGGCTGTATGTGCGCTCGATCTTCAGATTTAAAGGCATCAGGATAGCCGTTATGCTGAGTCGATCAAGGACTGGTTCGACTGGGAGTGGGTCGATTTTCACTTGAGTTCCGTAGTTGTTAAGAAGGTTTGGGGGTCGCTGAAGCTCTGGAAATTCGTGCGAGATAACAGCATTTTTATCGGCGTCAGCTCGGGTCAGACTTCGCGACCCTGGAGGTCGGCCACGACCACGACGGGCCGGTGTCACGGGCGTGAACTGTTTGCCATGGTGCCGATTCGGATGTAGATTGGGAACGGCCTCAAATGAAGGCAGTGGATCGTCTGCCTTTGGCTGATTTCCATTCTTGATTTCCACCTTGGTATTCATTGGAATGACAGCCTTTTCCTGGCGCGGGGTCTTCGGCAATGGAGAAGTTTTTGAAATGGCTGCCTTCCACGGACGCCTGGTCTTGGCCTCAGCCCTACACTCATTGTGCAATTCCTGCTGCATTTTCGCCATGCGCAGCCAAAAGCACTCGCACAGGTTGACAGCAGCTTTAAACACGGGCGAGTCCGGACTGTTGTAGACTCTGCAGTTTTCGAAAATCAATAGAATGTCTTCCAGGACGTCTGCACCGCCCCAGTAGTATGTGTACTCAAATCTTTTCTTGATTGTGTTCAAGTCCATGGGGTTTGCGATTTTTTCGTGGTAGTCCCTGATCTTCAGCTTCACAGCATCGACAGGTTGGTGAAAGTGCAGAGAGGAAGGGTTGCGCGACAACGCATTCGCAGCGGTTCTCAGTTTTAACAGGAAATTGGTGACCCTTCCCTTACGATTGGGTGGCGGCATCACCGGGGGCTGCACAATGCCATTTACCGACTGTATTCTGGGCTCACACCGTGGCGGCCGCTGCTCCCTTGGGACCTGGTTTTCGAGCACGCATAAAGCTTTCTCAAAGTCCTCACGCCGCCTATCATCCATTGTCTGAGAATAGAGATTTCAATACAATTTTCGACCGGCCAAATGGCTGTGGCAAGTGCCACAGGTAGACTGTTCGTAGGCTGTTCGAATTGACACATTCTATCAACCGAAAAACTTAAGTGTAGAGGGTACTAACATTCCCTTTCTTCTCGATGGTGGTTTAATTAAACCTTTTATTCAGTTGCTTTTTTTTTTGTGACAAGCATCTGAAAAGTTTTAGTGATGGCTGATAAAAAAGTAAGCACATCGATACACGCATTGTGTGCTATCGATATTCAGTGTTGAGCAATGCCAATAATATGGCAAATGAAAACGGCTCTCTCGATATATCAGCCATCCATATGAGCCAAAAGCAATGGATCGGGCACGACCATTTAAGGTATATTATATACTTTTCAGGATATTTTGATCACGAAATTGGGTTCATTGTATATTTACGGTATATCGGTATGGTATAATGGTATATTTAATGAATTTCATTGGCCTATTAAATTACATTTTTAAAGGACCTGCGAACGAATTGGAACGCTGATTGCTGATTGATCTTAAGATCAATCTTTAGATCTTTAGAGGATCTAACTGATGGGCGGACAAGAGAGTGAGTGTCAGAGAGGAGTCAGAGATGTGTCTGAATTATAATGTCCTTTTATTCTGCTACTCTTCTGCTACTACTACTATTCTGCCACACCTTTCCAATGGTCCAGTCATCCGTCACCTCCGCACGGGCGAAGTTTGTGGCAGCCATCGATAGGCGGACCACAATGGAAGCACGGCTCACCACCCCCGGGACCAGCACAGCATCCTCTGAGATCTCTCAGGTCCGCCGAGACCAATGGCAGAACTTGTGGGCAAAGGTGGATGCAGAGTTTGAGTCCTGTTCGGTGGCAATGATGGAAGAGGCTCCGGAAGACCAAATATGACCAATAGATGAGGTCTATGAGCAGTGCAGAAATAATAGAGATAGACTGTTAGATCGCATCTTTGTCAGCAATGCCTCTCGTACAACGGTTTTAAGAGGCAATCCGATATATTTTCCCCAAGATTCGCATCATCCCACTTTATCTATATTTTTGGAGGTCTCTATTACTAACACCATTTTACCTTCAAAAAGTCGTATAAAGTGTTTTCGCAAAGCTAATTTTATTGACCTTTGTCTACATCTCTCGCAAGTTGATTGGTCCTTTCTTTAGGATTAGGTCCTCATAACATATAGAGCCTACTGTCAATATGTTTTACGAAACATTATACTCTGCCCTCGATACCCACGTCCCTGAAGTCACCGTATTTGTTTCCTCTAAGCCTCCGTGCTATTCCAAGTATCTGTCTTACCTAAAAAATAACGAGAAGGGACGTGTGAGATGCTTCTTACGCGTCACAACTTTTATACCCGGCACTCAGTACTACATCTGCACCTTAGCGGTTATTTGTCAAATTTTACTTTTTTTCTTCATCTGTCATCTACATCTACAACACTTCTCATAACATCACGCTCCTTTAGCTCACCCCCCCTCCCCATGATCCACACACTGCAGAGGCAGAGGCCGCACACTGGGCGAAGCAGAGTGTGAATGAGAGAATGTGCAAAAAACAAATAAAAGCTGAGGGACGGGGTGGGTTTAGAAACTGCAAAATTTTTACTTCATTCTGGCTTTAATAATGATCCAATCGGATCCCAATGGTGATCTGATAGATATGGTCATTCACTACGGAATGGCATTTTTAGTTTTCTTTTATCTTAAAAATTTTAGTTTTGGGAGTTTTTCGCTCTTTAGCGGGGTCGGAAGGAGACGGGGCTCATTTTTTTCATACACATGTAACAGTGTGAGCATACAGAAGTCTGGATGCAAAATTTGGTGGCTCTAGCTTTTATAGTCTCTGAGATCCAGGCGCTCAACAAGACGGACGGACAGACGGACGGAC